GGTTTATGTTCAATATCAAACCTCTGTCTTTGAAACTGCACTTTCCACAGTCCATCAAAGATTTGAAGAAGAGAATTTTAGAGCAAATTCAAGCCCCCAGAAATCTGTGATAAACCGAAATCACATGGGTAAAAGTCCATATTCTACTAGTGCATTTGCAAAATGTACACGTAGAACCCTTGAACTTGTACTTGTAAAACCCTTGAAAATTTGAAGGAGCGACCTTAAATAGTTTTTTTAGATACAGCAATCTGAAAGTGGCTCCTCTGAAAACTCTGCTCAAAACAGGTCAGAGAATTGACAAAATATTTTTAATGAAAAATTTATAAGAAGTTGGGAGCTAAAATTGGGGATTTTTCCTGTTGGCAAGTGTGTGAACTTCCTAGAATTTTTTCAGTCAAATCTGAGATGGTCGAGCGGGAGCATTCAGAAATTTGGCGTGGAATGATCCTTAAGACTTTTAACATGAATACTGTGATTTAAAATGCCCAAATTATAACATAGTGGTGATTTGTCTGATGAAGTTTTTGGTTTAAGCGTTTTAAATTCATATATCATGTTCCAAATTATTGTGCAAATTGTGTCATAAAGGTATTTTTTTGTTTTTGTCTTCCTGTCTTCATGGCTGGATAAACCTGCACCATGCACCTGCAAGGAATCCCACTGCATCACTGATTGAAGTTGACCATAATCTGAGTGTAAACCCCGTGGCTCTGATGGATGAGCTCCTCTCAGTGAGTAGATTACAACTCAGACAGAAGAGAGGAGAGCACACATTCAATTTCCCATCGCACACAGAGACGATTCATTAATAAATCTACAGCACGACAGTGTTATGGAGACAAACAGAGGTCAGAACAGTTAAATCTGCACTATGCAACTTTTTGGATCCACCGTCTGCTTCTCTCCATGGAGATGTTACATTAAAGGGCCCATCTCATGCAAAATAATTCTTTTCACATTGTATCTTCTGCACATAAACAAGCACAATTTGGGTTTTGGAACATCCATTATACAGTAGTTGAAATGAATGAAATCTTACTGAGACCAGGAACTATGAAAATCCGACTATTGCTCCTCCCCCCGCCCGTCCTGAGAAAGCACAGGCTCCGCCCTCCAAACGTGACGTAGACTCTGAGTGAGCCGCCCTTCCTCCGCCATCTCAGGGAGGGAGGGGTAGACAGATGTGCACCCTGATAGCGACAGGAATAAACTTTTATTCATCATGGAGATGCAGCGCGTTCAGCCGCATGTGTTGGACCCGGAATCGGACGAGGACTTTGAGGAGCACAAAGCTCAAGCACCGCGTCCACATCAGCTGAACATTACTGATTGGTAAAAGTTGCAGATCTTTGGGCACAAAATGATTCAGGTTCTCTTTCACAGGGGATATTTATTATAAAGCCACACACAAATTTTTTTTATCAGCTCTAACAGTCCCCGCAAGCTCCTTGGTGGCAAGGCTCCGGGGGTGGACGAGATCCGTCCTGAGTACCTTAAGTCTCTGGATGTTGTGGGGCTGTCTTGGCTGACACGCCTCTTCAACATCGCGTGGCGGTCGGGGACAGTACCTCTGGACTGGCAAACCGGGGTGGTGGTCCCTCTGTATAAGAAGGGGGACCGGAGGGTGTGTTCCAACTATAGGGGGATCACACTCCTCAGCCTTCCCGGTCTATGCCAGGGTACTGGAGAGGAGAATCCGGCCGATAGTCGAACCTCAGATCCAGGAGGAGCAGTGTGGTTTTCGTCCTGGCCGTGGAACACTGGACCAGCTCTACACTCTCCATCGGGTGCTCGAGGGTTCATGGGAGTTTGCCCAACCAGTCCACATGTGCTTTGTGGACTTGGAGAAGGCATTCGACTGTGTCCCTCGTGGTGTCCTGTGGGGGGTGCTCTGGGAGTATGGGGTCCCTGTATGACCGGAGCAGGAGCTGTGTTCGTTGCCGGCAGTAAGTCAGACCTGTTCCCGGTGCATGTTGGACTCCGCCAGGGCTGCCCTTTGTCACCGGTTCTGTTCATTGTGTTTATGGACAGAATTTCTAGGCGCAGTCAGGGGCCGGAGGGGGTCCGGTTTGGGGACCACAGGATTTCATCTCTGTTGTTCACAGATGATGTTGTCTTGTTGGCTCCATCGAACCAGGACCTGCAATGTGCACTGGGGCGGTTTGCAGCCGAGTGTGAAGCGGTTGGAATGAGGATCAGTTTTTCTAAGTCCGAGGCCATGGTTCTTGACCAGAAAAAGGTGGCTTGCCCTCTCCAGTGGGTGGGGAGTCTTTGCCTCAAGTGGAGGAGTTCAAGTATCTCGGGGTCTTGTTCACGAGTGAGGGAAGGATGGAGCGTGAGATTGACAGGTGGATTGGTGCAGCGTCGGCAGTGATGCGGTCGCTGTATTGGACCGTTGTGGTGAAGAGGAGCTGAGCCGAAAGGCGAAGCTCTCGATTTACCGGTCAGTCTTCGTTCCTACTCTCACCTCTGGTCATGAGCTCTGGGTAGTGACCGAAAGGACGAGATCGCGGATGCAAGCGCTCGAAATGAGTTTCCTCCGCAGGGTGACTGGGCGCTCCCTTAGAGACAGGGTGAGGAGCTCAGTCACACGGGAGGAGCTCGGAGTAGAGCCGCTGCTCCTCCATGTCGAGAGGAGCAGTTGAGGTGGCTTGGGCATCTGTTCTGGGCGCCTCCCTCAGGAGGTGTTCTGGGCATGTCCCACCGGGAGGAGGCCCCGGGGAAGACCCAGGACAAGCTGGAGGGACTATGTCTCTTGGCTGGCCTGGGAACACCTCGGGGTCCCCCCGGAGGAGCTGGAGGACGTGTCTGGGGTGAAGGAAGTTTGGGAGTCCCTGGTTAAACTGCTGCCCCCATGACCCGGCCCCGGATAAGCGGAAGAAAATGGATGGATGGATGAATCAATCTAAAAATCACTTTGGCGACAAATACAAGGCCCACACATCACTCGTAGAAGGTAGAAAGCTCTGAAAAGTTGATTTTGCACGAGACGGGCTCTTTAAAGATGAAATATATTATGTTCTAATGTAGTTTGTAGTTCTAATGTAGTTAGTCTGTTTCACAAACAGACCTGGAGTTGTGTTTTGTTTCATTCACACAAGTTTAAAAGTGCACTGTGTAACTTTTCTTGTACAAGGTCAAACACTTTTCTCCATGGAGATTTTATTATTTGTCTGGAATTTTTCACAGTGTGGCATTAAACTTTTCTATCTTCACGGAGACCAAACCGGACCAAGTTACAGGTCAGATCTGTGGAGAGGCGACCCCGCTCACAGTCAGAATCCCTGTTTTTCTAGATATTTTTGAGCTTCAAAACCACCTGTAATTGAATAAATATAAAGAAGAGCTGTTTAAAGTCATACTGTGGAACATTCCAGGCAGAGCAATGACATCTCCATAGAAACAAGCAGGTGATGGACCCCCAACCAAAAAACAAAAGGTACACAGTGCAGCTTTAACACACAAACCTGCAGATTTAGGCTTAGAGTTCTTCTCAAACTGAAAAAAAAAACAAAAAAAACAGGAGGTTTTAAATCAGGGCGTGCTCCACTGTGTTTTTAAACTCCACACAACTTCACTACACGTCGCCATGGAAACGAGACACTGGCAGACCCTCCAGCAGAGAAGTCAGACGGCGCACTTTTGTTTTCATCATGAAACTTCCTCGGCAACTCGACATGACCTTTGTTGTGCTGCAGATCTAATTGAAACCGATGATGACAGAGAAGACGGGAGTAATGGAGAGAGTGGGAGGAGGTGAAAGATGTGTGCAGCAGACAAGAATAAATGGGAAGCGGGAGAGAGTGGGTGGTGGGTGGAAGTGCGAGATGGTCTGATAGAGCAGAGACGCAGGAGCAGGAGATGGTCAGAAGAGCCGAGGAGAAGGTCAGAAGAAGCAGAGGATGGGTCAGAGGAGAAGGTCAGAAGAGAAGAGGAAAGGAGAAGGTCAGAGGAGAAGGTCCAAGGAGCAGAGGAGGACCCGGCAGGTGAAGTGTCTTGCTCACTGACACACAACAGGCCTATGTATCAGTGTAAGGTTCTGATCCTCATGACGCTTTAATTTAATTTATAACAACACGAATCATTGAGCTTTGTTCCTTGGTCATAAAAAATCTACAGGGACAAAATCTGGTTTTCTGTTGCTTTTCCAATAAGTCCAGAACATTCATCTCCCCTAAATCTAGAAAACTGTGAACATTCCTTTTACAAGGACGAAAGAACTGAAAATGAGATCGTAAAACATGTACTGTGCATCAGACGCGCAGGAGAGTTTATACTGACGTATTTTGGCATTTTGACTTATGAACTGAACCAGAGCCGCTTCTAATAACGCGCCCTGTCCGCGGGGAAATACAGCTCTGCTTTAATGAAAACAGAAGTCAGTCGTGGCGCGTGGCGTCGTGATGAACTTGGCATTCAGAAAGTGGGTCAGAAATTCACGGAACTGGGCTGTTTATCTCTGCTTTTATTACGCTGCGTCTGGACTTTCACCGCGCACTGGACGCGTCTGATAAACGCTGTTTCTCTGCTCGCTGCTTAGCGTCATCCAAACACCCAGCACGAGTGATTATTAACACTATTAACGGGGTAGAAGCGCCTGTGGGGGGCGGGTTTGTCTTGGCTCAGCTCTTTGTAGTCCAAAGACCATTACGCACAGGAGCGCGCCGCTTTGGAGAGAGCGCTCTGAGCTATGGCACGATGAGCCCATTATTCACCCAAGTGTCTGCGCACTCTGGAGACCCGTAACAACAACACTGACGGCGCCATCACTCCCCTCCGGCACCGTGTAGCTCCATGCGGATAAGAGGATTTCCCACAGACGAACACAAACTAATGCCACTGTGGAACATGTCCCCAGTGTCTCTGTTTCTGAAATAAATACATGATTGTGTTTTTACGCACAGCGCGCATTACGCGCGCATTTCGGCCTTGCCTGCGCGTTAGTGTGCGTGCGCGTAAGTGTGTGCGCGTGAGTGTGCGCGTGAGTGGGCACTGACCTTTGCGTAGCAGCAGCTGATGAGCAGCAGCGGGAGCAGGTAGCCCAGCACCAGTATGGACACTCTGTAGACGGAGCGGGACGGCCCGGGCCAGCGCTCCCAGCAGAAGGTGCTGTTGGGGGCCGTGGGGTGCCCCGTGAGGACCTGGTGCTGCGCCACGGGCACCGACAGCACGAGCGCGAGGCTCCAGATGAGCGCCACTCCGAGCAGCGCGTTCCGGCGGCTGCGGATGAGCGCGGACTTTTTGGAGAGGACCACGGCCACGTAGCGGTCCACGGACATGGCCGTGAGCGTGAAGATGCTCACGAGCATGCACACGGTGAAGACGTAGTGTCCGAACGTGCACAGGAACGCCCCGAACACCCACTCGGGCAGAGAGTAGATGGTCGCGTGTACGGGCACGCACACGAGCAGGAAGCACAGGTCCGCCACGCTCAGGTTCAGGATGAACAGGTTCGTGGGGCTCGCGGCGCGCAGAGCCCCCGCGGTGCCGGCGGGGCCCCCGGTGCCGTACCGGGCTCGGCCCACCACTGCCAGCACCAAACAGTTCCCCACGACCCCCAGCACGAAGATGACCCCGAACAGAACCGGTACCACCACGGCCTCCGGACCCGGACCCTCCTCCGGCTCCGTGTTGTTCCCCCCCGCGGCCTCGGCCCACGACTCGTTCTGCAGCATGAGCCCCTCACTGCGCTCGCGCTCTCCGCGGAGCGCGCGATGTGGAGCGCACGAGGTGGAGCGCACGAGGTGGAGCGGTCTGCGGTCGAACTCCAACTGGACCCAAAGCTCCGGCAGGGCGCACCGCTGCTTCCGGTCAAACCTCTTCAGAATAAAACAGCTCAACTTTGAAACGTGCCAAGAGCGCGTGCAGTTACTGCTGCGCTGCCTCGCAGATGTGTCCAGATGCGCTTCCAGTTTGAGGCAGAGTCACAGACGCTCCATAAAGTCACTTCTTTCCCCTCAGTGAAATAAACACAGGCTCACGTGCGCAGAGAAGCTTTAAATGTCCAGCGGATTCATTCTGAAAGAAAAAACAGCTCCGTGTTTCACAGAATCAGAAGAGCGCGCGACTGTCTCTCCCGTCTGTTCGGCTCGTGCAGATTCCACGGCTCTTTTCCGGTCTCGTCCTGCTGAACTTGATCCAGACTGACGCGCGCTCACGACTCTGGAGTGTGTCATGTCGGGAGCGCGCATTAATGAAGCGTTATCAGCGCGCGCGAGGACACAGGGCTCCAACGCACACAAGAGCAGCCATAAAGCCTGTGTGCGCACTCAGGCTCATTTCCTCTGCTTTTATTTACGATTCACACGTGTCCTGTCAAATAAACCACGGGGAAAGTTTGGTTTTTATTAAGTCTTAATTTGAAAAGGCAATAAACGCAGATATTAGACTCGTAAAACTGATGAGATGTTCAGCACCAGATTAGATTCTCTGTGCGGTCTGTGGTCTCCTGTCTGACACACTTTACACATTATTAGTTGGAACGGGAAGGGCATCTGGTATAAAACAAAACAAACCATAATGCTTAGATTAAAGGGCCGATATTACACTATGTTCTCATCTAAACTTTCAATAGAATCATTTAGATAATTTCAACTCTGGAATTGTCAGTCTCTCCTGAATTGAATTTAAAAGAAGCGTGGAACAGACAGTTTTGAGCTTTGGAGATGTGGACAGAATAATAAAGAGTTACTCAAACATGTGTGAATGAAACAAAACACAACTCCAGGTCTGTTTTTTTGAGGAGGTAAAGATGTAATAACACGGCTCAAAATTCTGGGTTTCTGGGCGTCGTTACAATGAGAAGTTGGTCTGTTGTTGACAGTGTTGGGAAGGTGACTTTTAAAATGTAATCCCCTACAGATTACAGATTACACACCCCAAAATGTAGTTTGTAACGTAATCCATTAAATTACTTAAAGTGAGTAATGTAATCTGAATACTTTGGATTACTTGATTTGCTGTAGAGAAGCAAAGACGAGGAAATCTTCACATCAGATGTTTTATCTGCTAAAAGAAAATAAAAAGCCCAGACTTTACCGAACCGTATTAAAAATATTATTGATAGAAGAGAGGAAACATGGTCCATGCAGCATGATTTTAGTCCTGTTAAATCCTGTTTTAGACCTGTTTTAGACCTGGTTTAGACCTGGTTTAGACCTGGTTTAGACCTGATTTAGTCCTGGTTTAGACCTGGTTTTAGACCTGTTTAGACCTGGTTTAGTCCCGGTTTAGTCCCGATTTAGACCTGGTTTTAGACCTGGTTTAGACCTGGTTTAGTCCTGGTTTAGTCCTGACTTAGACCTGGTTTAGATTTGGTTTAGACCTGTTTTAGACCTGGTTTGGACCTGGTTTAGTCCTGGTTTAGACCTGGTTTTAGACCTGGTTTAGACCTGGTTTAGTCCTGGTTTAAGTCCCGGTTTAGACCTGATTTAGACCCAATGTTAGACCTGGTTTAGTCCTGGTTTAGTCCTGATTTAGACCTGATTTAGACCTGGTTTAGTCCTGGTTTTAGACCTGATTTAGACCTGATTTAGACCTGGTTTAGTCCTGGTTTAGACCTGATTTAGACCTGATTTAGACCTGGTTTAGTCCTGGTTTAGTCCTGATTTAGACCTGATTTAGACCTGGTTTAGTACCTGGTTTAGACCTGATTTTAGACCTTGATTTGGACCTGGTTTAGTCCTGGTTTAGTCCTGATTTAGACCTGATTTAGACCTGGTTTAGTACCTGGTTTAGACCTGATTTAGACCTGATTTAGACCTGGTTTAGACCTGGTTTAGACCTGATTTAGACCTGATTTGGACCTGGTTTAGTCCTGGTTTAGTCCTGGTTTAGTGTCCGGCAATGAGTGGAATTGCCTAAAAAAAAGAAAAGAAGGGATATAGCCTGAAATGTGAAAACAGGAAAATCCCGCCGTGTAATCCATTTACTTCAACAAAGTAACTGTAATCCAATTACCACTCATTAAAACAGTAACTGTAACCGAATACAGTTACAGTTTGTACTCTGATTACATAACTCTGTACATGTAATCTGTTACTCCCCAACACTGGTTGTTGATTGTTAATTGCCAGAAAACCAATGGCCATTTACCACTATTCTACTATTCAGAACTATTCAAAACACAGACAGGCCCACGTATCTCATCAGAAATGTTGAAATGTTATGTATAATTTATAATCTTTTTGTTATTATTTTATTGACTGTTTTGTTCCAATGTTTGCTGGTTCAATTTAATGTTGAAAAGAAAAAGAAATGGGCTATGTTTAATGTCCAAAAAGGCGATTTATGGATCCTTTTATTGCTGCTTCAATGACAGTTTTTCATTGTGATTTACGAGTAATGTTTATGCACTTGGGTCATAAATGTTTGTGACTTTTAAAATATGGGTCCCCAGAAAAAACGTTTGGGAAACACTGGTTTACATTATAGTCATAGAACGTTAAGGCTCTTATAGTCTAGTACAGTAGCCATTTATGACAGGTCGTAAATGAAGTTGTTGTAAATATTTGAGCTGCTTCACCTTAAATTCATGTTAATAAGACGACAAAGACGCTCAGTGAAAACAAACTACTACACTGCAATTTTCACAGATTTGTTGGACACGATGTGAGCGTCCGATAAAGCGTTAAATATTCAGATCAGCTCATTGGTTTTAAACTTTTCTGTTCACACATTTGTTCATTCTGTGGATGAACTGACTGATCGTTGGCGAGCACAGGCTCATTAGGTCAAGCCGCTGTAATGATGCAAATAAAAAGCAGACAAAAAACTCAAGAGACATGATTTTATAAAACTTTGATATCAGTGGATCATTTTGACTTTCAGACATGACAAAGCAGCCGGGCGAATAAACAACAGTGACGGTAAAACAAGGAGCTACGTTCAGACTGCAGGGCTTAACGCTCAATTCTGATTTTTTTTTTGTGAAATCCGATGTTTTTTCGAGGTCGTTCACATTTCCAATTAAATATGACTTGTATGTGACTCCAGTGTGAACATTAAACGGCCCAAAAGTGTCCCGCATGTGACACTGGAGACACGACGACGTCAACCGCAGCGAGCGTCTCTGTGTTTACAGAAGTTGACCAAACATGGACGCAGCATCGAGCACCTGGAGATTTTAAAGTTCCTCTTGTACCGGAGCCAGAACATGAACAACTTACTTGTTTTAAGGAGGAGATTGAGAAGGAGAAGGACGAGGTTTTTGGCCGTGGCGTTTTGTGGGACAGCGGCAGCGACGTCCGTTGAAAGGAACGTGTGGATGTGGAGACGGAGTTCATTAACAATTTTCGTATGACGAGAAGAACGTTTGTGTTCATTTGTGTCTTGTTGAAAACGTGTAGGTGGATGAATGCGCTTTGGCCGTTCAGACTGAAGTCACATGTCAAAAGATCAGATATGTATCGGTTTCAGGAGCACATATCCAAGTGTCCTGGGTCACAATTGAAAAAATCGGATCTGTGTGGTTCAGACTGTCACTAAAAGATCAGATACAGGAACATAGGGGCCAAAAAATCGGATTTGGGTCACTTCAGGCTGCAGTCTGAACGTAGTCTAAGGCTACATTTACACTGAAATGAATCACCGTATTGGAAATGTCCAGACACGTCGTTTCTGTGTTCGCAATCCTTCCCTATCCACACAGCTTTGAGCACATTTGTTTACGTTTTACAGAAACAAAACTTAAAACCGCATGACTCATTTGCATAAATTAAGCGCTCAAAAAAACAGCTGCTATTGTGCTGCTGATGCGGTTCAGTTTCTGTCGGACTAAAGGACACGACTCAGTGGAATATGAGTGTTCTTTCTGTGACAGAGGAGGTTCTGCTGATGGTGAGTCTGTTCTGTGTTTCTGTCGTGTTGGAGATGGTTCATGTGAAACTTTTCAGAGATTATACGTCTGCAGGTCGAACACACAGACACACGTTTATATAAATGGACAGATATTCTCGCCTCTTCGTGTTTTGGCGGTGAATTACTTCATAAACCTACATCAGAGTATCAGTGTTTTCAGGCGTCCACACAGTGCCGGATCAGATCTGTATGAACATGAATTCGTGGGAGCTCGAGGCACCAGATCATTCCTTCTCTGGAGCCGTTTTTAATCAGATTAGTGTGGACGAACTACGGAAGCCGAGAGGGGTCACAACAAATGCAAACGCCGCAAGAAATACAAATGAAACAACACAACAAAAAGCCACAACAAACCAAAAAAAAAAAGCCACAACGGAAATGACCGCGGAACTCTATTTTAATGCAAACGCCGCAAAAAAAACAAATGCAACAACACAAACGCAAAAGCCGCAACACATCAAAAAGCCACAACAGAAGTGACCGGGGGACTCTATTTTCCGACAGACCGATCAAGCGGCAAGTGAAGAAGAAGAACTACAACGTGAAACGAATAATGATAAAACAATAAATTATTTTTACTTACGTTTCCAACTTCTCCGTTCCTTTACTTTTCACGTTGTAGTTCTTCTTCTTCACTTGCCGCTTGATCGGTCCGGAAAATAGAGTCCCGCGGTCACTTCCGTTGTGGCTTTTTAATGTGTTGTGGCTTTTTAATGTGTTGCAGCTTTTTAATGTGTTGCGGCTTTTAATGTGTTGTGGCATTTTGCGTTTGTGTTGTGGCGTTTGTGTTTGTTGCGGCATTTGCATTAAAATAGAGTCCCGTGGTCACTTTTGTTGTGGCTTTTTGATGTGTTGTGGCTTTTTAATGTGTTGCAGCTTTTTAATGTGTTGTGGCTTTTTAATGTGTTGTGGCATTTGCGTTTGTGTTGTGGCGTTTGTATTTGTTGCGGCATTTGCATTA